TACGGATACAGAGGCAGGCTGACCAACAATTATCAGTTTTGAATAAAAATTATTACGTCTGTTCTAAATATAAATACTTATCAGAAAAGACTTTGAGCAAAAATTCAGTCTGCATATTAATAAGATTTTAAATGATATTTAGCGTAATTGCAAATAATACAATATTACCATTTTTTTTTTTGAAACATTTAATTTATTTTGAATAATAAATATATGATACGTCATATAAGTAGTAAGAGTATATATATATATATATATATATATATATATATATACATGATAATATCATGATGATATAAAATTAACTCTGAAATATGATAAATAAAGTCTACCAAAATATATTTTAGTTGGATATACATATATTTCAACATATCTATAACTTAATTACCGATGTATTTCCTATACTAATAGTTAGATAAAATTATAATTAGTACATCAATTTTAATGACTGCTTACTTATTTACATTTTCGATCCGCGCTTTGACGCTAATCCATTAGTGTCGGTTCGGGTATTCTCGGCAGCCCGATGCGTCGGGTTGCTCGCGGCGGGAGCGAGCGCCGCGAACGCAAGCTATTGAAATTTTCGTGTCGCTTCGACCATGTTCGGCAGGGTACGTAATTCTAAAAATAACCCCCCCCACCCATTTTCAAACAAAAAAAGAAGAAAAAAGTGCGCTATGGACATGCGCAGTGGACAAATTTAAAGGAAATTCGTGCGTTCGCACAGTATCACTCCGCTGCGCAAATTTGTTCGTGACGCACCATTCGCCGCACGGATTCGTAACAGTGGAGACGCGGCATTCGACAGTGTAGAATAACCGATTTGTATTATTGAACAAACATTCGGTACTCCATGGCGAGGCGTTTTTGCAAAAAGCACATCCTGCCGTTCCGCAGGTATAGAGCGCAAAGGGTGCAAAAATGGTCATGCAGTTTTCTTGTGTAGACGGTGTGCAAAAATGGTTTTACAAAAAATTTCGTTGTTTTGAGAATTTTCAAAAAAAAAAAAATTTCAGAAAACTTAAATTTTTGAAATTTTTCATCATTTAAAAAAAATCTAAATTTCGAAAAATTTGAAAAACATCAAAATTTAAAAAGAACAATTTCTTACAAAAATTTGAGAATATTTCGAAATTGAAAAAAAATCAAAATTCAAAAATTTCCCAATTCTCAAAAATTAAAAAAACGATTTTTTTAAATTTCAAAATTATCAAAAAAATCAAATTTAAAAATAAATTAAAGAAATTTCTTGTAAGCATGCACATAAGTTGTTTGTAGAATACGCTCGTCGCCCAATAAGCACATATAAATTTACAGTATGTATTTATAATAAATAGTCTATTTGAAATTATTTAAAACAATTATTGATTAATTTCATTCCTCGAATTTTTAATACGGGAAGTTCCAGCAATTTGCCTTAAGGCACGATGCCACGCGCCCCCTAGTTTACGATTTAGATTCGAAAATGTTGGCCCAAAGTTGTACAAGCTGGCGCAGCGTTCGTGACTATTTTCCTACACAGTATCACAAAAATAAAATTAATTTTGTGTTTCATAGTTTCTTATAAATTAATATTTTGTTATTCTTGCCATCACCGTACCGGGCCATGCCCGTAATGCGTAATATTTGCTTCTGGCCCGATTATCGTTCGCGAGCCATGCCCGTAATATTTACGTTTGTCCTAGCCTTCGTAAGCGGGCTCTGATCGCCATTGTAGGTTAAAGGGTTAAAAGTAAGTCAAGATTTCTAGATATTGAAATATTCAGATAAATATTGAAATGAGATCCATTGCAATAATCGATATTTACAATTTATATAAAACTAAAAATATACTGAAGCAGCTAATAACATGTTCCAGTAACAGAAGAAAAATATTTTGGTTTGGAGCGCCTTTGCCCCAGAGTCTAACAATTCTTATTTACCTATCACCTATCATACTGTAAACAGGCAGAAAATTGCCAAAATGACAAAATTATTCTGATAATATAATACAGTTTTCTGGAGTTAATCATTAATAAACTTGTTATGTGCAATATGGACATACCTATTACTTGATCCAGCATTTTTACAAGCACAAAACATTTATAAGTTCGTGTTTTAAAATTAGGTGTTGGAACATTTGATGGTACTCAAATAACACTGATAAAATGAATATAAATCATTCCATGTAAACATTCATAATACAATATTATAAAATTGGATGTCTAGTGCCACCGCCATTCGCACTTTTTTAATATAATACATCATTACTATCCACTGTGAATTACATAATAATTCTATTCTCACTAAGCACAAATAAAACAGAAATGTTCTAAACAATTTAACTTTAGCCTTGCATTCCAACTGAAAGTATATTATTACATAGAATGCATATTATTATGTTGTCCAGGACAGAATGTATCTTAAAAGTATACCAATATGAATGAAGTTAAATTGCTAAGGTTGTATTAGAATTCCCATTTAATGCCACCTTAAAAATAACAATATTTAAATTTGGGGCATTGGTAAATTTTGTCAATAGTATTTCTTCCTAAATTGCACATGCTTACAGAACTTTTTACTCATTTGAGAAATTGAACTGCATCATACAATAACATTCACACATACACATGTATAATGTATACATAAAGTATTCATATAAGCATGTAATTCAAATAAATGAAAATGAGTACCAGTTAAACATTTTACTTCAGACATCATCATGGGATCGTATTTAGAAAAAAGTTTTACATTCTTAGTTAAATATATGTAAACCCAGAAATATTTAATATCAAAATGTTTTCACTTATAAAAACATTTCAGAGCAATTTAAACGCATTCTATTACAATAAATATTTATTATAATTGTGATATGTTACAAAATAAGCATCCACTATTCTTTAAAATATTCCAGATCAAATTAAACACATTCTATTATAACAGATATTTATTATAATAATATGTTACAAAATAAGCATCCTTATCCAAACTGCCACTCATCACGGTTTATGATAGCTGAAACAAAAATATTTATCAGAAATGCAATAAATCGAAAATGAAGTTTAAGTCGAACAAAGTGGATACAGCCAAACAAAGATAAATACTGGTATTTCGTTTATAGTAGTAAATATTAGAGTAACAGCAAAAATATGCAAAAATGCTGATTAAGACATTGACATCTCGCCTTCTCAGTCACGACTGAGAAACGAGAATACTTCAATGGGACTTTTTTTAGCAAAGAATTGCATTTTTATTTCCAGTAAGATCAAAACGTTGTATGCATAACTTATTCATAACAAATTCAAAAAGAATATCCTAACCACTGGATAATCACATAATTAAAAGACATCAAGTGCTATGATAAATAATGAACTACTTCAACTCATCCGAGTATTTATGATTGATTTGAAAATAAGTAAATTTTTATAATGCTCATACCCTGTACAATAAGGTTTTCAGATTTATTTAGGTTATATATTAAATTTGCGAATTAACTACTATATATGGGAATACGGGCATTAATGACACAATTAAGATACCATAAATTTTAAGGTTAAGAACTGTTTTACCTTCTTGAATCCAATGTCGTTGGCATATTCCCTGAAGCATTGGCGGCATATATTTAATCCATATTTACGAATTAAACCGTGTCTGTTGGAACAGGATCGACTAAAAAGAAAAGCATAATGTTAAACGTCAGATGGAAAAAACCGCGTGGCTTAGTAATCCTACTAATAATTACAAAATAAATACGTTTACACATCATTTTTGAGCCTACTCACCAAGAGCGTGATCCCTGGCCGTATTTACGGGGATGAGAGTACCAAATATTGTTAAAACCCATCACGAATAGTTAGAATATCAAATTCACAAAACCGTGTAAAATTGCTCAGAGCAAAGGCGATCACAAAAAGGTAGCCATTAATACGATATCCGCATGGCAGGCGATAAGTATTACCACTGCACAGAAAATGTCACACCTGAAGTTGGTCTCACCGTTTATGTGCGAAATTCAAATTTTGCTCTACTTTAAGTGGACGCTTTTTTTTTCAAAACACAAAATGCTTCGAATTAATTATTTATATTTGGCCCTTTGCCTTTCAAAAACTATTTTATTTGTGTAAATAAACTGCATATGCACTGAGATTTAGTAACTTTTAAAGTGGTCACATTTTGGCGCAACCGAAAACTCCAAAGTTTACTGAATTTTTATAATCAAACTTCGGAATTTCTGGCGAAACCAAATTTTTTCGGAAAGTTAAATAGGTTAAAGATTTTTAATAGGGTCATTTATAAAGGAGCTTTTTTACTCAGTATTTAAGAGTTTTATTTTAAGCTTGCGTTTACCCACTTTTTAAGTTCACCATTTGGATTTTGAACCGATTAAATAAATGCAAGATCAGTACTTTAACATTTGCATAAGACATTGAACTTACAAATGAAATAGTGCAATAAATAAATCAATGCATAAATAAATAAAGAAAGTGTTTTTATATAAACATGTTTCGTTTGTACAAAAGTCATTTAAGTCAGGAAATACTTGGACCATTCTTGGACCTAAGAAGTAAATTTTAATACCAGAAAAATTCAAATTGGGAAAATATCAATTCAATATATGCACTTTTTTTTCTTTTCAATTTCAATTTTGGTTGAAACTGCTAATAAAACTTCAAGTGATACTAGAAGTTTTGATTAAATTATAATAAAAAATAAGGATAGTGATTTCTACGCCACGTTTTTCACCCATGTAAAATTAATAAACATTGATGTACTAAAATTGTTACTTGAGACAAATGGAAACATGAACATTTCATTAATTATATAATTTATTAAAAACAATTAAACTTAACTGTAGTTAATTTTACAAATAAATTTACAATTTCAACAACTTTACAACATCTTAATTTATGAAGATTTAAAGAAATAAGAAATATGAAATAGTAGCTTTTAAAAATTTGTTTCCATTCAACAAACACTAATTAAGTAAAATATCAAGTTTTTATTGCAAAAATGTTAAAATATAGTAAATAGAAGCAACAGTTTGGTTAACATTACATAAAGTTAATAACAACCAATCATAATTTTATCAAACCGGAGTTCCAACATTAAAGAAAGCAGCAACATTATATAGTTGACTTTTACTATCCGTTTCCGGATGATCTGAAAATAATACACACAATAGTACATATTAAAAAAAATTACAGTAATAGAACAATTTATTCTGAATTCTATTTACCTAGATTTTTTGTCTGCACTAAATGTGGAGGAAACATACTGCTTATATTAAAACTATATTGTGTAGTGATTTTTCGTGTACTTCTTTCAGTTGAAAATGTTACATGCAGCGATTCTGGATCATTTGGATTTCTATTGATGTTAAATATGTTAAAAATATAAAAAACATTATATATAATATATTAGTTAATATATAAAAGAAGAAGTTAATATATAAAAATAAATTTTGAAAATACTAACCTTATAATTGATTTAGCATATTTAGTTTGTAATGGAACGTTAATAGTTTGTTCAACATTTTTTTGCAAATCCTTTAGAGATTGTGGAGGCTTGTAGTCAGGATCTTTTTCATTTAAGACAGTTTCCATTAAGCTAGAGCACATCTCAAGAAGATTACCTAGAATGGATAAGAACACAAACATCAAATACATTATAAGAAATAAGTTACAAATGATAAAGGATAAATGGGAAATTACTCATTTCAGATTTTGAAGGTTTCTCATGTTGATTAAAGCTTCCAGAACCACATGAACTCTGCTAATATTTTAAATTTATGGGTGTATTCTTTTTCATCAAATCTGCAAAAAAATATTTAATTATTATTATTATATTAAAGGTGTTTAAGTACTTCTGAAATTTGTCATAAAATTGCTTCTTTTGTTAATTACATAGAATTCAATTAAATTTGAAATTCACTGTCTCAAAGAAATAAATATAATCCTTGCACAATTTCTCAACTCCAGCCTCGAGTAGGAGTTCAAGAGGTTGTAAACCAGATAAATGTGGGACAAAAACATTTTCCGATTTTGTATACAATGATCCAGAATAGCTTGAGAAGTAAATTAAAAATAACATATCCATATCCTAGTAACAACAATCTGTATTTCAAAAAATTAACAAACCAAAATTATTCCGGATTTTTATCTCTTTTTTAAATTGTTGTTATTACAATATTCTCGCTAAATGAAGTTACTCGAATAATTTATAACTGCTTTTTCTTTTCATATTTCAAAAACTAGGATGCATGTGTCAATAATGCCTGCTAACAATGTGTTCAAACAGAATAAATACATATTTACCTAGAGTTTTCAAAAACTATTGCATCAAAGAACTATTAAAAACTTTTGCTTTGCTTGATTTGGATGGAATAGTTAATCTAGGTTTCATCATACTGTATGCAATGTTCGATGATGTTTCTTTTGGGCTGAAAAGGTATATTAATGTTACATGTATTTATTTATATTGTATATATTTTTATAATATGAGTTGGTGCTGATTACTTGGTATTATAAAATATTTACTTCAGACTTCAGATAAGTTTGCAATGTGACTGAAGAGTTATAAATACACATACTTACATTTCATAGAAAGGTAGTTTATTATGGTAGAGTTTATATGTCTCAAAGAAATAAATATAATCCTTGCACAATTTCTCAACTCCAGCCTCGAGTAGGAGTTCAAGAGGTTGTAAACCAGATAAATGTGGGATGGCAGCTCTATGATGAAATACATCATAAACTAGGCTTTCTAATCGTGTATTTGTATTTTCTTCAGTCTTAAAATAATTAAATGTGTTGTTTATAATTATGTTAATGTCAATAATCAATATGAAAATCACATAGCTATAAATCAAATTATACTATATAATTTGTATAGAATTTATACAACAAAAGCTGCATGATAATTTGTTATATTGTTTACTACAAGAATAAATTACAGAAAGTATATGGTTAAAAACTATTAATGCTCACAAAATCTTCTTGGATAATATACTGCAACAACAATGCTTTATTGTAATAAAAATTGAATGTAATTATCTCAATGACTATTGCTTCCACTTATGATTATAGTGAATAGAAACAACAGTTTGTTAACATTATTATAGTACAGAAATTCAAAGCAAAAATATTAATACTTAATATCTAATGTAATAAGCATAGTCAAATAAGTACACTTTTTTTTTATTAATAGTTACCTGTATATTAACTTTTCCATGAGCTATTGTACTGAAAATTATATTGAAGCATTTGACTAATTGTGAATAACAAGATACATCTGAAAATATTTAAAATTTTAGAAAAGATCAACACATTTAATATGTGTAAAATTCCACATCAAATCCAAATATGTCAAAATTTAGTTAATGCAAACAGTTATCCATATTTAATATGAATTACCTTTTAGAATGGTCCAAATTTTATCACAAAAACTAAGATGTAGCCGGCCATTAAATACAATTCGATTAAAACTTTGGATTTCTTCTGCTGGTTCTATGTCATAATCATGATCTTGATGCAACATTTCTTGTAACTTTTCCTCGACTGGTACATATAAATCAGGATCACTACAATTCAAAATAAAATTGATATGTGTGACTGTAATTAATTTTATAATCATTTTATTTATCTGAGTTATATATTCTAATAATACATTAGTTTTTATTCAAATAGTGGAATCAATATGTAATGATAAGATTGATCTGGTATATGAAGACAAAATAAATTTTTAATAATAAAGTTTCATATTTTTTATGTAAAGTTTTACCTGCTACTAGGCATGATAATTTTATATATCATATCACTTGAAGTATTTTGATGTTTCTTTATTAAATCATAAAGCTCTTGAACTATACATAATTCATTCCATAAATGTTTTGATTTCGACTCACTCCCAACAGATAGATCTTGCCGCTACAAATACAGAACTGCAGTAAATTGAATTAAATATGAAATAATCTTTCAAATGCACAATATACTATATGCCTATGTAAATTGTTGTATGGACTAACTATAAGAGTATGATAATTTTTTATATGTAATATGAAACAACATAATTAAATAATACATCCACTGGTTATAAACTGAAATTTAAGTATCTTTCATATAAAATTTGAATCAGATCATACAATAATAAAATTTACCAGTATTGTCTTTCCTGATAATGGAATGGTCAATGATAATTCATTCCAATAAGCTAGAAGTTTCATTGGTGGGGGTACTGATAAATTTTCTTCATCAAAAGTTTCAATATCATTACTTCGTAAATCATACTCCACAGAAACATTAACAGTTACATCATTATATTCCAACTTATGTTGTTTAATGTAGTTTTCCAACAATACATTCAAGTTTATATCATTATATAAAACAGAAGGCTGTGAACAATAATAAAAAAATATTAATAATACTTTATTACAAACTATTGAAATCTATTTTTATCTACAAGTTATGCATGTACACTATTGGATATTGTTTAAAAATCAAGGGTTCAAAAGACTAATGAATAAACTACAACTAATAACTTGTGATGCTTGATCATAACATTATAAAACAATATTTTAAAAATATCATATTAAGTATTACTGTCCTAAAAATGGACAATGATGAATAATAAGTATTACCATTGGTTTAACACGAGCATTGAACCACCAACCATTAAGATGCCTCGATCCAAACAAAATATAATCTTTTGCATCAACCAAAAACCAAATCCATTGGTAATCATTTTGGTTGTTCCATTTTGATAAGAAATTGTTCATAATCAATCTATAATTAAAATCAAAATAATTATAAATTATTCAATAATTATTTGATGGGTCTAATTCAAAATTATAAAACTTATTATCTTTATATGAATAAAGAAATATAACTCCCGTTAATGATTGTGCTATAAAAAATATGAATTTTAATTTTTTTTATACTTAGCAAATTTTAATATTAAGATTTGCAAATTTAAAATAAGCAATTTTATAATATTATTAAATAAATATAATAAGCAAATATTAATTTTTTTTAAGATCAACATACATTGAATCTTTCCGTAGCATAAAACCATGTTTTGCTTCACTTTTATGCCATAATTGAACTTTTGCTGCACTTTTATACTCAACCATGACATCATTGAAAGACTCATCTGCCAATTCTAATTTTAGTGGATTTCCATCTAAGCTTTCACTAGTATGATTAAAGTCGAGAGTATCCACAGTAATTGATAGATCTTCTTCTACATCGATCTAGAAAATCAAACTTAATAATATATATATATATATATATATATATATATATATATTGGAAATATAAATTTTATACATCTCAGACAGACGGAAGTGTCTGGTACCGTACAAAATATCTATACAATAGTACTATTTTATACATGTTAATTATAGATAGTATGTATATATGTATATATAATAACAACTACATTTTATTATCTAAATTTATATTTGTATAGTGGTACTGAGCATAAAATAGATTAAAATAAAGATGTAAAGCAAGAAAGAAACATGAAGCACCTCACACCTCATACAGGCACTTATTTAGATAAAATATTGAGCTAAGCTAATAGCTAAATATTACATATACGAAAAATAATGGTTAATTATAAAACAGACATCAAACTCACATGTTTATAAATAAAATCAATTTGATTGTTGCCAATAAATTTCCTTAAGTATGTTGGACAATCCTTCTGGCACGAAATGTCCGAAGGTATTTCAATGTTCGAAAATCCAGCTTTCATCAACATTAATTTATTAAGATACTCCATATTTATTTTACCATCAAATCAAATTAGTTGAATATTAAAAATAATGCAATCCGATTAAAAAACTGTCAAACTGTAAAGTCGGTTAACGAAGTGTCAATTTGAAACATACGAACGCATACGAACTTCGTTCGGTTGCGTTGCAGTAAGCCGCCATTAGATGCTGACACTAATTTGTCATAAAATTTTAAAATTTTTGATGTACAATGTGAAATGAGTGAAATTAATTAATTAAAAATTAAATAACATATAAGAAATACAAATTTGAAATATCTGCACAAGTATATACTTTATATAAATATATTATATTCTAATATTGTCTAGGAAGTGAGCCAAAAGCATTGTAAACCAGGGAATAGTTAACTGTCATTTATCTTTGTTACTTTTTTTTATCAAATTTACATTCAAGATTGTATCAAAATTAAAAATTCCTTATATGAATAATGTGGTTAATTAATATATAAATTAATAGATATATAAACTAGGTGTAAGTGAAATTTTTCGTTAACGCAAGTCCCATGAAGTTCCAGATATATGTAAGTAATTGAATTAAATAATGAAAAACAATAGATACAATTTATGAGATAACAATGGTTAAATTTAAGTTTATGTAGATACTTTTGTTGTTAGAAACTATTGCAAATATATTCAGTTTTGTTCAAATCTTTGTCCATTTTCTATCTGATATCTTTCATTTTTTAACTTCAAAAAGTGCTAAAAATGTCAGCTTTTAGGAGAACGGATCAACTGATTTGAATGATCCATTCGATTAGTAATGATGATGAGAAGTGGTTATTAAATTTTGGCAAATGCAGGTCCAGCCATTTCGGAGATACCGAGCAAAATGTTCAAAAAATGGCAGTTTTTGAGAGAACTAAGCATCCCATTTGAATGATTTAAAAAACTTTCTGCTTGCGTTGACGAAGCTAATTTTTAACTAGCTGTAAGTGGAATTCTGTCTTGAGGCAATTATGGCATCGTGCCTTAAGGCAAATTGCTGGAACTTCCCGTACCGTAACGAAATGTTCGAGGAATACTGAATGTTTTCAAATAGATTATCATAAATATTGTAACATTGTGTAATATTTACAAGAATTATATAAACTGAATTGCAGAGTTGAAATTATTTGTAAAGTATATTAGAACTATAGTCAGAATTAAAAATAAAATCTGAAATATTTTCGATATACAAAAAACTATAAAAAAAAAAAAAAAAAAAAATGGAACAATGGAAATTTTTTTTTTTCCAAAATCAATTATTTTGTTAAGACAAGCAGAAAGTTCTTTGAATCATTTAAATCGGACGCTTAGTTCTCTCAAAAACTGCCATTTTTTACATATTTAGCTCCGTATCTTCAAAATGGCTGGGCCTGCCTTTGCCAAAAACTAATAAACACTTCTCCCAATCATTACTAATTGAATGTTTTTGAGATCATTCAAATCGGATACTCCGTTCTCTCAAAAATTCGATTTCTATTTTCTGCACTCTTTGCTCCGTATCTCCGAAACGGCTGGACCTGCTTTTGCCAAAAACTAATCAGCTCTTTTCCCTATCAATAGGAATCGAATGTTTTTTGAACCATTCAAATCGGTTGATCCGTGCGCCCTGAAACGTGACTGGAAATTTGTATCCATACATACATACATACACACACACACACACACACACACACACACACATCCATATTTTCTGAGGTATGCCAAAACGTTCAGAAACCTTCAAAACGTTGAGAAATGTAAAAATTTTCAATTCCGATTTTTGGCCCATTACAATAACTTACCCTACGGGAAGTTAAAAATAAATTTGATTATCGAAAAATAATTCGGATTTTAATTCTAATTTTGGCTAAAATTCTAAACATCACTTATAATACTTCAAATAATTATAATAATTTATTTGAAAACATTTAATATTTCTCGAATTTAGGTACGGGAAGTTTCAGCAATTTATCTTAAGGCACGATGCCATACACTACTAGTTTCATTACAAATCGGTTCAGAATTTTTGTGATTTCCAATTGAATATTTTCAAATACATTTAAATTATCAGCAATTATATGCAGCACAACTTCTCTCTCCTAAAGTTGTAGCTAATTATTCCAAATCTCAATGAATTTAGTAGCTAAAAGGTATTTGGTCAGACCTCTCGAGAAATTGTTGCCAAAAACTTCAAATTTTTGAAATTACACACTTTTTCAAATTTAGTTTAACAAATTAGAATTACTTAATACGTCGAATATCGCAATTAATAAAATATACTGATCTGTTAAGTCAGCGGTTTCCAACCTTTTTTTCCTTGCGCCCCCCTTTTGAAAGAAAAAAATATTGCGCCCCCCCCTAATTTTTTTAACAATTTAATTTAAATATACTTAATTGAAATTATGATTTATTCAATCTTGCACAATCCACATAATGCACAATATATGTATATTACAAAAATAAACATACAAAATATACATACAAAAGTATACATACAAACATATACATACAAACATAACTATTGATTATAAGAAAAAATAATTTTAAATTTAATAAAAACAAATGATATAATATTTCACTATTTAGTTTTACTATTTTGTGAAGAAACAATTCCATTATTTTCACCACCCTCTTCTTCTGCTTCATTAAATTTTCTTTTCATACCCAGTCACGTATTTATCCATTACAAACGGTTTTTATAACAAATCCAAGAAAATCACTTTTTCACTACTTTTCACAATAATTCCTGGCTAATAATGTGCTAAAACTAAAGTTATAAATTTCAACTCAATAATAATTTAAAAATGATTTTTTCTAACGCGTGTACCTCCAGGACAACTAATGAATTCGATTTATAGATAACAGAATAAAAAGGATGCTTTTGTTTATTTACTTAAGTTAGTCTCGAGTAAGCACGTGAATATTCGATATGATCCAAGTGCTTATCTTTTGTTTATAGGCCTACAGCTCACTCGGCTACAAACGCAAAAACGAAATATTTTGAATGCACCAAAAGTATAGTATGTATATTCATGCTGTTACATTTGTCCTGACAAAATTGCAGCGAAAATTGTAGATTACTTGCATGTATTTTGCTGATTTGTTTTTGACACTTACTCAACATTTAAAAACAATATTTTTGAAAGAACTTTGCGCCCCCCTTGGGACTGCACCGCGCCCCCCCAGGGGGGCGCGCCCCACAGGTTGGAAATCGCTGTGTTAAGTAGTAAAAATGTAAATTATACACACAAATAAGGCTTTCAGTTTATTTACACAAGCACGTTATTTAAATAAAAAACATCACAATTTAGATTCAAAGTTTCACCTAATAAATAATAAACAAAACACATTTTCAGTATTCGCTGCTATCGTCTTCATTAACGGTGTCCATTCCAACTTCTTCATAATCTTTTTCTAGAGCTGCCAGATCCTGGCGAGCTTCTGAAAACTCTCCTTCCTCCATACCCTCTCCAACATACCAATGCACAAAAGCTCGCTTAGAATACATTAAATCAAATTTATGGTCTAATCTGGACCAAGCCTCGGCGATTGCAGTCGTGTTTGCCAGCATGCATACTGCCCTCTGAACTTTTGCCAAATCTCCACTCGGTACCACCGTTGGTGGCTGGTAGTTGATGCCAACTTTGAAACCAGTTGGACACCAGTCTACGAATTGTATTGCGCGTTTAGATTTGATAATACTGATGGCAGCGTTGACATCCTTCGGTACAACATCTCCCCTATAAAGCATACAGCATGCCATATATTTTCCTTGGCGAGGATCGCATTTCACCATTTGATTGTTGGGTTCAAAGCATGCGCTTGTTATTTCTGCAACACTCATCTGTTCGTGATAAGCCTTTTCAGATGAGACTACTGGAGCGTAAGTGGCCAACGGAAAATGTATTCTAGGATAGGGCACTAAGTTAGTCTGGAACTCGGTCAAATCGACATTTAAAGCACCATCAAATCGTAATGAAGCCGTGATAGATGATACGATTTGGCCTATGAGTCTATTCAGATTCATGTAGGATGGACGATCAATATCTAAACTACGTCTACAGACGTCATATATAGCTTCGTTATCGACCATGAATGCAACGTCTGAATGTTCCAAAGTGGTGTGAGTTGTAAGGATGGAATTATAAGGTTCAACCACGGCAGTTGATACTTGAGGAGCTGGATATATTGCAAATTCTAATTTAGACTTTTTTCCATAATCACCAGATAGACGTTCCATTAGTAATGATGCAAAACCGGATCCAGTACCGCCGCCGAAAGAATGGAAAATCAAGAATCCCTGAAATTATGGAAAAATTATTAAAATTTAAATAGTCGTTTATTTGGGAAAATAGAGAGTTGAGAATATTTATCAACCTCAATGAAAGGTATTCCAAAATTAGATGTCTCATACCTGTAAACCAAGACAATTTTCGGATAGCTTTCTTATGCGGTCAAGGACGACGTCGATAATATCCTTTCCAATTGTATAATGCCCTCTTGCATAATTATTTGCTGCATCTTCTTTTCCATTGATGAGTTGTTCTGGGTGAAACAATTGCTTATACGTTCCCGTGCGAATTTCATCTAAAAGTTTAAATGAGTTTTTATTTTTTCTGGATTTAATATAATAAATCAACGTGCCGCATTATTATAGAATTGTAATAAGGATAAATTTAATTGAATAAAAAATATCTCTAAGGCCTATGAAGCCATACACTGTACTAAATTTTGCAAAAAGAAAGATTATTCATTTTGGTTTAATTTATAAAATTAAATTACTTGAAAGTGGCATTTAGCCTTAAGGCAAGTTGCATGAACTTCCCTAATGCGTAAAAATTAACTTAATCAATCGAAATCGAAATTTAGATATTTAGACACAATTTTTAACTGTTTATTTCAAAAATAAAGTTATTGCTTTCAATCAAATCTTATTTCGTTTTCGAATAGAATTTTCTCAAACACATTAAAATTAATTGTATTTATTATTTTGCACAGACGCGTGCTTATATACGCCTTAAAATTGTAGCTTATTGTTTTCAATTTGGATGAATTTATAATGTTTGACTCATCACATTACAAAAGCAACTTTTGGCACAAGTTTTGACTATGATTATTTCTCAAACCTTGATGAATTTTTAAAATTAAGCTACTTGCCGTAAAACGTAAAATTTTAGTATGTTAATTCAGGACCATGATATCTATTACCATGAAAACAACAAATCAACAAATTTTTTTTCAACACTTAATTACGAAGAAACGGCCAATCTTTGTCCAAAACTAATCAGCACAACTCCCAAATAATATTTTTCGAATAGTTTTTAATTTTTTAAAATCGGTTCAAAATTTTTGGCTAAAACGTGGACGGAAAATTTTTCACTTTTCTGCTAATTACAAAAAACTGATTGCATTAAAAAACTAATCGACGCAAGTGCTTATCAAGTTTCGTTAAATGGTTTTTCAATTACAAAAAATTTACAAACGTTAATTACAAAAAAACTGCTCAGCTGATTGTATCAAAAATCTAATCGACGCAAGTGCTTATCGAGTTTCGTTAAATGGTTTTTAAATTTTTAAAATCGACATGATCGAGAAAATGTCAATGAAAGGTCTAATTTTGATAAATGCCAAAAAACGAGACCAATTTTTTCAAACTTCGACGAATTTTCAAAGTAAAACGAGTTGGGCCGTAATATTTTAGTATGATCTAGCAGACCATGATATCAATCGCCAAAAAAATTCATGAACATTATCAAAAAAAAAATTCGACAGTTAATTACAAGAACACGTCCCAGCTAATCTTTACAAAGAACTAATCAGCACGATTCCCAAAAATATCTTCCGAACGGTTTTTAAATTTTTAAAATCTTCAGAATTGCAGGCTAAAACGTGGACGAAAATTTTCTGCTATTTACATAGAAAGGGCTCAGCCGATCGTCGCGCAAAACTGATAAACGCTATTCCTCATCGAGATGCATCGAATGCCTTTTAAATTTTTGAATTCGGTCCAGCCGTTTTTGAGAAAGCTGATTTACGGCAAAAAATCTGTTCACACACAACACACACACATAATTTTTCCAAACTTGGTTTCATTCGATTCAGAATGGCTTGTCGAGAAAACACAAAATTAGCGAATCGGATTTTTTTATGAAAACATAAACTTCTCCTTCGAGAAGTTAATAAGATCTTTAGTACAAATAAATAAAAATTCAAAATATTGCTAAATGCTACTGAATTTAAGCCATTAACTCACCTGATAAAAAATGGAAATAACTTAATCATTATTTATAAGATATTATTTAATAAGTAAATAGTTAAAATTATATAAATATCAAAAAAATATTATGAATTGTATATCGAATGAAAAAACAACTACTGAGTTGTTTTTTCCAACATGCCCTTGTAGTATACAATGTCCCTTTTCGGCCGACTATTGTAAATTCATCAAATTTATTGAATGTCTTTTACTGGACAGTTGTAAATAAAAAAAATAACAATAAAAAAAAATGTTGCTAAATAATCTTCTTACCTATCACGGATGGTTCCAAGTCCACCATAACTGATCTAGGTATATGTTTTCCTCCGGAGGTTTCACTGAAAAATGTGCCGTAAGCATCATCACCATTTGCTCTACTTTTGTCTGATTGCATTCTGCCATCAGGCTGGATTCCATGTTCGAGGCAGTAAAGCTCCCAGCAAGCATTGCCAATTTGGACACCGCCTTGCCCGATATGAATCGATATGCATTCGCGCTGAAAAATGACAAAAAAATTATTTAAAAATATTTTTGAATTAATATTGTTGGTAATAGTATACAAAAGCAGTATATATAGTATACATGAGTTAAATGTTGCTTACAGAATCATAATGACATATTTATGTCAACAAAATTAAATACCTAAAAAATTTTAAAAATCTTACCATTCTGAAACTGTTCTGGAATAAAGGCATCGCGATTGGTTTCTAAACGTAAATAGAATTTTGAAATAACAATTTAGAAAGAAGCTTTTAAAAAATCGAATACTAAAACGAATTTAGAACGATAAAATTTAGAACGTAAAAATTTAGAACGATTGTCTTACTAATCTGGATTTGAAATCACATGGCTTACTATAATTGTGCACTGAAATGGATTGTGATAAATTGCAAATATCAAAGTTGGCTGGAACATTATACGTCGAATGGAAATAGTCTATATTTTCAAATTTTTCAAACTTTTCTGAATGAAATTAAATATATAATTGAAATTATTATTATTATAGGCTAAAGGGCATTCATTTAAAACCTCTGAGCATAATGCTAAAGTTCAACTTAAAAAGTTAAAATCGTTTGCAAAATCTTAGAAAATTTTCAAAAAATTAAAAATTAAACTAGTGGGGCATCGTGAATTAAGGCAATTTGCTATAAATTCCCGTACCGTAACGGAATATTCGAGGAATATTAAATATTTTAAGATTATTATAAATACTGTAACATTGTCTAATATTTATAAGAATTATATAAACTGAATTGCAAAGTTGAAATTATTTGTTTAAAGTATATTAGAACTTTAGTCTGAATTAAAATTAAAATCTGAATTATTTTCAATATACAAAAAAAAAAAAATTTTTTGAAAAAAAAATTTTGAACAAAAATTTTTTTTTCCAAAAGCAATTATTTTGTTGGAACAAGCAGAAAGTTCTTTGAATCATTCAAAACGGACTCTTATAGTTCTTTCAAAAACTGCCATTTTTGCACATTTAGCTCTGTATCTTTAAAATGACTGGACCTGCCTTTGCCAAAAACTAATCACCTCTTCTCCCAATCATTACAAATTGAATGTTTTTTTCTATCATTCAAATCGGATACTCCGTTCTCTCAAACACTAGATTTGAATTTTCTGCATTCTTTGCTCTGTATCTACGTAACGGCTGGACCTGCGTTTGCCAAAAACTAATCAACACATCTCCCTATCAATAGGAATAAAATATTTTTTGAACGATTAAAATCAGTTGATCCATGCGCCCGAAAACGTGGACGAAAAAATGCGGACATACAAAACACACACACGCACACACGCGCATCAATTTTTTCTGAGGTATGCCAAAATGTTCAGAAACCGTCAAAACGTCGAGAAATGCAAAAATTTTCATTTTCGATTTTCGCCATATTACTATACCTACTACCCTACGGAAAGTTAAAAAATTATTAATTTGAAGTGTCTTTTGTTCAGTGAAAACTTTCGATAATTAAATGATCATTTTTTCACTTTACTTCCCTGTATCTCCGAAAACTAGTACCAGACCTTTACAAATCGATTGTTTTTCTATTCTAATCGTTCGATTCATACTATCAAAATCTGATCTAATTTTATTTGTATCTGCGGGATTTTATAATACTTCTAGTAAAATTCACTGTGAGGCAATCTGCATTCATAATCAAAATTTAGATTTGATTTTATGGCTACAGAATAATTGTTTCGTAAGCAATTTACTTACAACATATAAAAAATTGTAGAACTTAATTTGTATAATCAACAAATAAAAATAGCTATACATTTTGTGTAAACAGCATACGCACATATATTCATTAAACTAAATACAAAATACGCAACAAAATCTCCATTCATATTACAGTTTTATATTTTTGTCTTCACTTTTTCCTTTTTCAGGTTTTTAATAGTTTTCTTGTTTGCTGATTTTTAATGCTTTCATTCATATTTGTCTTTTATGTTTTTTGATTATACAATTTTTTAGGAAGTTTTAATGTACGTACATTCATTATTTTTTTTATGCATCGCGAGAAATCGTTTGCAAACATCTTATATGCCTTATATTTGTCCATTCGGTTAATGCAATGCTTTTTCAGTTTTGGAGATGCTTTTCAAAATTCATATTTACGACTGTAAAGGCCATCGTCCCGACAAGTGTCCAAAGCAACTTCTTCATAATCTTTTTGTAAGGTCGCTAAATCTTCGCGCGATTCTAAAAATTCGTATTCTTCCATTCCTTCACCGACATACCAATGGACGAAAGCACGTTTTGCAAACATCATGTCGAATTTGCGAGTCAGACGACACCAGCTTTCGACAATAGCAGTGGTGTTGGCTAACATACAGACACCACGATGGACCTAAACACAGCATTAATATAAAAAAAAAAAACAAAAAAAAAATAATTACTGGTAAAGCCAGTAATGAAGAATGTATTCTTTGGAGCAGTTTCTATAATCAATTTCATAAATGTACATTATTACCTTAGCTAGATCTCCTCCTGGTACAACAGTAGGAGGCTGATAATTAATACCAATTTTAAATCCTGTGGGACACCAATCTACAAATTTTATCCGTCTATTTGCTTTAATGCATTTTATGGCAGAATTCACATCTTTAGGAACTACATCTCCTCTATACAGAAGACAGCAAGCCATGTATTTTCCATGCCTTGGATCGCATTTGACCATTTGATTACCTTGAAATATTATCAGAAACAGTTCCACTTTTTTGTACAATGTATTTTATAGAATTCTATATTTTAAATATATTTTATTTATATTGTTTTATATACCTGGCTCAAAACATGCATTTGTTATGTCAGCAACCCTAATTTCTTCGTGATATGCCCTTTCCGCTGATGTTATAGGTGCGTATGTAGCCAAAGGAAAATGTATTCTAGGATAAGGCACTAAATTTGTCTGAAATTCGTTCAAATCCACATTTAAAGCTCCATCAAATCTTAAAGAAGCTGTTACGGACGAAACAGTCTGCGCAATAATACGATTCAAATTTGTATAAGTTGGACGGTCTATTCCCAAGTTTCGGCAACAAATATCGTAAATTGCTTCATTGTCGACAAGAAAAGCGGCATCAGTAATACCTAATGTGTTGTGTGTTCCAACTACGGCATTATAAGGTTCGACTACTGCAGTAGAAATCTACAGTGAAATAAAAATCAATTATAATAGTTATGATACTTATTTATCTATGGTTATGAGTTTTCCTAAAACAATGCTCAAGTACCTTTGGTGATGGATAAATTGCAAATTGCAATTTAGATTTCCTTGGATAACATACTGATAACTGTTCTGCTAGAAGTGTGGTAAAACCAGAACCTGTTCCGCCGCCAAGTGTATGAAACAAGAAAAAACCCTGTATGCAGTCACACCTTTCGACCAATTTTCGAAGCCTTTCTTGAACCAAATCTATAATTTCTTTACCTTTGACAGAAAAACAAATAAGTCTAGGTAATTTTCATTGTATATTATAAAACAGTTTTACCGATGGAATAATGTCCTCTTGCATAATTGTTCGCTGCGTCTTCTTTACCGGTTATTAATTGGTCAGGATGAAATAAATGGCGATAAGTTCCAGTACGTACTTCATCTATAAAAAGGCGTATATCACATTATTTATCAAGTACATATCTTAGGACAATATAAGTTAAAATTGAAATTTTACACATCACAAAAACGTTCTAGGTAGATTTTTTCCTATATTTTTAACCATCCCGAGCCTAAAATTTTGTTTGAAAATAATATGATGGTGCAGTAACTTCTAAATTTCCAATTTCGACAAAGAGAAATTTTATGATTGTGGAATTAATTGTTCCATTCACATTATAAATATGTTATTTTTCGTCAACATACCGACAACTGTAGGTTCTAAATCCACGAATACAGCCCTTGGTACGTGTTTTCCAGCAGAAGTTACTGAGAAAAATGTGGAGAAAGTCTGATCATCTATATCTCGGTAAGCGGAACGAACTCTGAAGTCGTCAATATCGTCACCATCGGGAGTAATACCGTGTTCTAAGCAATAGAGTTCCCAACAAGCATTGCCAATTTGGACCCCTCCTTGTCCAATGTGTACAGATATAACTTCTGGCTAAAATTTGATAGAATCTAGAGGTAGAAGTATCTAGCAATTTTACGAAGATGGGCTAGTAATATTATTTTCATCGTGTTATTGGCTGAGTGGAATGTTTCCAACTTAAATCAGAACCAAAAGAAACCATTTCTTATTTTAATATAATATATTATGTTAAATTATGAAATATACTAAAAGTGGTCAATATGTTTTGATGTGTCAAAATTGGATCGTTGTTAGTAGTGCAACTTGCCCACCATTTTTATTAGTCTCTCTTCTTGCAACAGCTATGAAATCTATGTACATATGCGTTGAAAACCACTTAAAATTTTGCGAAGCTATAATAAAGCTTCAATTTCCAAAAACTAAAATAATTGAAAGTGAATTTTGACGTTCAATGCATGTGGAATTTTGTAGAATACCACACATCGTTTTTGGCAACTTTTAAAATTGATTTTAAAATAGAGTATATATTGAAATTCTTCATTTAATAGCATCATCTGCAATATCGCCATTGGTTATATGCATTATTGCTGTAACGATATATTTAATGTTTTTGCATTCGTTAATTATACAGCGCATAATGTACCACAAAATATGCACAATACAAAACAGAACAAATAAGTTTTCGTCTGAAAATCACTAAAAGTGAAACAGTTAATTTTTATCATTTTGATCCGTGGAATTTAGGCATTCATCAAGTTTTGGCTTTGGTAAAAAAATAAAGTGTATAATATAATTTACAATTTATACATCCAACAAATATAGGAAATTAAAACGTATATAAAAATTGATATTAGATTTTTTTTATTGATTAGATAATAAAATTACAAAATCGTGATAACATTGAATTATAAAAAATATGCTGGTATTGAATAAACAAGTTGAGTCTTTTTACTTTAGAAAGATAAATCAAAGTCGAAACTAGTGGTGTGTGGCATCGTGCTTTAAGGCAAATTGCTTGAACTTTCCATACCCGTAATAAAATATTCGAGAAATATTAAATGTTTTCAAGTAGATTATTATAAATCAGGTATTTTGTACATGTTTACAGAAAAGTAAATGAACAAAACTTAATCGAATTTAAAATGAAGGGCATTATCTAACATTTATAAGAAATGCTAGCAAACCGGGCGAACTCCGTTTCACCACCAGATGGTTTCGTTTTATGTAACATTTCGTTTGGTGATTAAAAGATTAAGAAAAAATTGCCTGCTGTTGAAACTGAATAAAAATTTGCACAATACACGTGATTTATTTGAAGGTTTCCAATTGAAATTTTAGGAAACAAATAGCCTATTTTTTTACTTTTTTTTGCACAATTTCACAGTGATTGTGTTCACTGCCGGATTGGCACATGAAATTAACCCTAGACAATATTAGAATACCCCGTGTTCATAACTTAACTGAAATTAACTGAGCAGAGAACAATGAGTAGCTATCAAACAAATGAGTAGCCGTCAAACAAAAAATATTAGTTTGTAGTACATGCTAAGTATCAGAGATGACGCTATATGTAAAAAAAGAAAAAGTGTTTTCCGCTTTTCTGTTGAAATCTTTCTTCAATTTTCTTTGTTAAACCTCACGGAGTCCGAGACCTTTCCAACGAATGCAAAATCGTCAAAATCGGTTCGTGCGTTCTGGAGTTATATCGTCAGGAAGGAAAACCCGACTTATTTTTATATAATAGATAATGACTGAATTGCAAAGTTAAAATAATTTATTTAAAGTATATAAGCGAGATTTAGAACTTCAGCTAAAATTAAAATTAAAATTCGAATTATTTTCGATATTCAAAAAAATCCAAAAGCAATTTTTTCGTCAACACAAGCAGAAAGTTTTTTGAATCATTCAAATCGGATGCTTAGTTCTCTGAAAAACTGCCATTTTTTGCACATTTAGCTCTGCACATTTAGCGGTATCTTCAAAACGGCTGAACCTGCCTTTGCCTAAAACTAATCACCACTTCTCCTTGTCATTTCGAATTGAATGTTTTTTGGATCACTCATAACGATGCTCCGTTCTCTCTACGCACTGTAATACTATAACTTTGGTTCTAGATTATTATAATAAAATGAAAAACAAAAAAGTCTGAGATCAAAACCATATATCAAGACATATAAAAACGTATACAATTTTGTACAATTCAAAAATTTAAAATTCAAAAACACAACACAAAACTATAATACACAATTTAACATAACGTATGATTTCACATCTCACTCTTTCTCATACGAAAATTATTTTTCCGTATGTTATTTTCCACAATCGTCAGCAACACGCGTCACAAATTTCATCGCTGTCCATACCGACTTCTTCGTAATCTTTCTCCAACGCAGCTAAATCTTCTCTGGCTTCTGAAAACTCTCCTTCTTCCATACCTTCCCCGACGTACCAATGAACAAAGGCACGTTTGCAATACATCAGATCAAATTTATGGTTCAATCTTGCCCAAGGTTCTGCAATTGCAGTTGTATTAGACAACATGCAAACTGCTCTGTGGACTTTAGCCAAATCACCTCCTGGTACGACTGTTGGTGGCTGGTAATTGATGCCAACCTTGAAGCCAGTGGGACACCAGTCGACAAAATGGATGGTTCGTTTGGTTTTAATAATGGCAATGGCAGTGTTCACATCTTTGGGTACAATATCGCCCCGATAAAGCATGCAGCATGCCATATATTTGCCATGGCGGGGATCACATTTTACCATTTGATTTGCTGTGGATAAGTTTGTTTACAATCAGTATACGAAATACTTAAAATGATACCAAGAACATGTTACAACTGGAAACAATATGAAAAAAGTTGTCTTTGTTGAACAATTATAATTCAATTAAAGTTAAATAATATAATTGTGCATGCTGATGGTATACCTGGTTCAAAACAAGCGTTTGTGATTTCCCCCACAGATATGGATTCATGATAAGCTTTCTCTGCAGAAATAATTGGAGCGTAAGTGGCTAGTGGAAAGTGTATTCTTGGGTAAGGTACAAGGTTAGTTTGAAATTCGCTTAAATCGACATTCAGGGCTCCATCGAAACGCAATGAAGCTGTCACCGACGAAACAATTTGTGCTATCAGACGATTTAAATTTGTATATGTTGGCCTATCGATGTCCAAGTTGCGTCTACAGACATCATAGATAGCCTCGTTATCCACCTGTAGTTATAAGTTTATTGATTAAATAAATATGATTAAAATCCAGTTACGGAACTATTTTAATATAGATTAAATGAAATTTATGTTTTGTGCAAAAAGCATCAGAACATGTATTATTTTTCAATATTACATGTACTGATACATCTATTAAATTTTTATTTTTAAGATAATTTGGATGCCCTATTAACATGTCGACAAATAACAAATTTATCGTAGATTATATCCATCAAGTAGGGGCAAAGGTTAGTGAAATTTTTGTCATTGAATTCGCAAACTGGCAATCGTGCCTTAAGGCTAATTGCAGGAACTTCGCGTACCAAAAATTAAAATTTTTAAAAAAGATTCAATTTTCTTTTATAGCTCTGAAAAAAATCGATTCTTGAAATTTTTAAAATTTTTGAAAAAAAATGAACTTTTTGAAAAATTTGATTTTTTTTATACTTTGAAATATTTTGGAAACTGTGAACTTTTTTTTCAAATATATGGCGATACCTTAGCTGCGTAGAAACGAAATATCAAAGCGCGTGGGCGCCGCGTCGCATTATTAGAAGGGATAAACATTGGTACGGAACTCATAGAAAAGTAAACAAAATTGGTTCTTTTTAATAAAATGTGTGATAATTTGCTGTGCATATGTGTAATGATCATTTTTGTCCGCCAAATAGCATTTTTATCACTTTTTTTATTGAATTTCCGAAACCGCTAGACCTGCCTTCCCAGAAATTTTATCAGTTCTTCATTCCGTTAATACAAAATTCAAATAGAATCATGCAAATCGGACCCTTCGATAAAAAAATCAATTACCATTTTTGGCACTTTTTGCCCCGTATCTTCGAAACGGCTCGACCTGCCTTTGCCAAAAACTAAACAGCATGTCTCCTTATCAATACGAATCAAATGTTTTTCGAATTATTGAAATCGGTTAACTCGTGTTACCAAAATCGTCGACGAAAATTTATATCCGCACACACACGCGCATACCTTTATACACACACATACATTTACATACGCACACACACACATACATAATTTTTTTTTAAGGTATGCCAATATAGTGTAGTCATTTAAGTCTTAAGCTTAAATTAGGTAAGAATCTCGAAATTCGAGATACCCAGCTGTAAGTCTGTAAATATTTGTATCAAGACCTACATATGGTAGGGTGTCAATACCATATGTAGGTTTTGAGACAACTTTAGGGTGTCAATATACAAATATTTACAGACATACAGCTGGGAATCTCGAATCCCGAGGTGAAAACTTACTGGACTAATATATTCAGAAGACCCAAAAACGTAGATATGCAAAAATTTTAATTATGATATATAAATGAATAATATATAAAAAATCTATTTTTTTAAACAATATTAAAATTGATATAATACTTTTATATAAAAAAATTAAACAATATGGTTTTTTTCTTATATAAGTAAGTGCAATACAATTAATGCAATGGGCAAGACTAACAAGTTTCCGTGGTGTAGTGGTTATCACATCCGCCTAACACGCGGAAGGCCCCCGGTTCGATCCCGGGCGGAAACAGATTATTTTTGCATATATTTATTTAGATGAAAAAAGCAGCAATTATTATTAGAATTTCAAAATACTGTACCATAAATGCTGCATCAGCATGTTCCAGTGTAGTATGAGTTGTTAACACAGAGTTGTAAGGTTCTACAACTGCTGTGGAAACCTGAGGTGCTGGATAGATGGCAAACTGGAGTTTGGACCTTTTATTGTAATCAAGAGATAGCCGTTCCATGAGTAAGGAGGCAAATCCTGATCCTGTTCCGCCGCCGAAAGAGTGGAATATGAGAAAACCCTGAAAATATTAAAATCTAAATAACATTTATCTTAGGTACCCAGAGAATAATTAAAATTTAAAAAAACGTTTCTGAGATAAAACCAGGCCAAATTAATGTTTAAACAATTTTGAAATCTCTATTAAAATTATATCTGATTTTTTTATTTTTATATTTATTATTCTAATATTATAGATTTTTTTTTCAAACCTGCAATCCACAACACAAGTCTGCACATTTTCGCACTCTGTCCAGAACCAAGTCTACGATTTCTTTTCCTACTGTGTAATGGCCTCTGGCATAATTATTAGCAGCATCTTCTTTACCAGTTATCAGTTGTTCAGGATGAAACAAATGGCGGTAGGTTCCGGTACGAACTTCATCTGGAAAACGATGGTTTATAGACCTCCAATATTGATACAGAACCAAAAAAAAATATTGTGAATGTTATTGAAATCATCACTATATAAAATTCGATGAATTCAAGTGCTTATTATCTAATAATTGATGAAAATAAAAAATTTTGATCACAAAATAGTCATTTTGTTCATATCATTCCCAGTGTATCCGAAATAACTAGACCTCAATTTTCCTAAAAATAACTAATATAATATTGTCAACACGATAATATTTTTATCTAAATCATTCTAATCAAATGGCAATTTTTTTAACCTTAATAATGCAAAAAAAAATTAATTTCTCTTGATTTTTTGCTGTTGATAGTTAAAATAAATAATTAAATGAAAGTTGCAGTAAACAAGTATGCAATTATTGTTTTTTTATATTTTTGCAGAACCGTAATAACCCTGTTTATGAATGGAAATATCTCATTTTCTTTCGCTATAATATAAAAGGAAGGTCATAAAACGTTCAGCATGGCAAATACAATACAATATAAACGTAGAATATTTTATCATTCGTGATTCATCGTAAAAGTCTCTAAAAAATAAATTATACAACGGAATGGGTAAAAATTATACAAATAAAATTAAACAGTATCAGCCCCACAGAACCTGTTCGATGGCTAACGATAAGTAAACATCCTTTATTTGAAAATTATGGTTATCAACATTTCGGCCATATAATAATAAAATACCAATGTAATAAATTATAGGTACGAGTATATTTTGGACTTGGAATTCATCACCACATATAATGCACACCAAACGTTGTAAAAATAAAGATAATTATATTTTGTCAATATTTGATTAAAGATTGTGAAAAATAATGTTAATTTTTATTATTAAAATTTTTAATTTAATAAAAAAAAGTATTTGATGATTTTGACATAAAAATTATCATATTCGGTTGCCGGTTAAAATATATTTATTATTTGTTAAATCTGAAGAAACGACTCGGCTGATCATGGCCACACACACAATTTTTTCCCCACTTTTGTGGCAAACGATTAAGAATGACTCGAAACACCGAAACAAAGCATAAAATTAGCAAAGGGTTTTTCTACTACTGGAAGTTTAAAATTGGCATTGACTTATTTATTATGATTTCATTCAATAGATTGTAAAAAGATCAATATAGTGATTAAATTACAGCACATTAAAATTACTTTCTAATTATTATGTTAATACCAACGACTCGCCATACAAAATCGTTTTTATTTTCATATATCATTAAATAAATCTATGCGTAAGTGTTGTTTCATATTTTTTTGTTTCTGTTCAATAAATGACTGTTATTAGGCCCACAAGCAAATTTCGAACACCCAAGTTGCTAGCAGTTGCCTTTGCATACCACATAATTATTAAATCGACCGAATGATCGCTAGGTGATTAAAAGTTTATAAATATTGTTATTGTCATAAGTATGACAAACAAAATTACAGAAAAAAGACTTTGTAAGATATAGATATTTAAATAATTCTTCATTTTGCACTATTTTGTATAGATAAACATTTTTAACTTCCCGTAGGGTAAGTTATTGTGATCGTCCAAAAATCGAAATTGAAAATTTTTTGCGTATCTTCACATTTTCAAGGTTTCTGAACATTTTGGCATACCTTAGAAAAAATGGATGTGTGTATATGTATGCAATAGTGTATGGACACAATTTTTCGTCAACGTTTTTGGGCGCACGTATCAACCGATTTGAATGGTTCAAAAAATATTCGATTCCTATTGATAGGGAGATATTGTGATTAGCTTTTGGCAAAAGGCGGTCAAGTCATTTTAGAGTTACAGAGCAAAGAGTGCAGAAAATATAAATCGAGTTTTTTAGAGTAACAAAGTATAAAAAATGCCGGTTTTTGAGAGTAATGGGCATCCGATTTGAATGACTAAAAAAACGTTCTGCTTGTGTTTGCAAAACGATTGTTTTTGGGTAAAGAAGCAAGTTTTTTTTTAATTTCTAAACAAACATATTCATGATATCAAAAATAATTTCGATTTTTTAAATTTTGATTCGGTACGGGAAGTTAAAGCAATTTGCCTCTAGGCACGATGTCATACACCACTAGTTTATTTCTATTTTAAGAATTCTGAATACTAAATTAAAAACTTAAACTAAAATATAGTTTAATAATCGCAATATATGAAATAAAATCAGTCAGAATCGTCAGATATAAAAAAGATCATGCGCTGATCACGAATTTTCTTTACGCAATCTCATAAATTGACCTATAGTTAGAAATAATCAGTTTATGAGATTATGAAAGCCTACTTTAGAGAGATTATCATTCCCAAAACATAATATAACGCCTTGTACAAAACAAGTATTCATCCCGATAATAGAAAAATAAAATATATACGGGGGCGTCCATTAATCACGTGATCGACTTTTTAAGGATTTTTGACCCCCCTCCCCCTTGGTGATATGCGGTAACTAACCCACCCCCTCCCCCGCCTAACCTCACGTGTCAAAATTCAGATAAAAAATAAATACACGTGATTAATTTCGTGATTTTTTTTAAATTGTCAAACCCCCCCTTTCTCTAAAAACTTCACGTGATTAATGGTCGCCCCCTAAATCATAATTCAAAAAATAATGACTTTTTCTATAAATAACTTTTTCATAATAAACTGCTAACCTACTACAGTAGGCTCCAGATCCACCATAACTGCCCTGGGCACCCGTTTTCCTGCTGCAGTATCGCTGAAGAACGTGTAGAACGAATCATCGCAACCGCAATCTGCACAAGGATTATCCGATAGAACTTGGCCATCAGGAGTTATGCCGTGCTCCAAACAATACAACTCCCAGCAAGCGTTTCCAATTTGTACTCCACCTTGACCAACATGTATAGATATACATTCCCTCTGGAGAAAAAAATATAATAAGGAATATTATTCTATTAATCTGATTTATTGGCATGTAGCAACCGCAATACTTTTTCTTTATACGTTTGAGAAATTTGTTGAAATTTTATATGCATTATTTTTATTTTCATACCATGGTCTATTTAATTTTGTTATATACTTGCTTTTCGTGCAGCTGCTTCCGATGGCTATTTTTGCAGGAAAACATATTTTTATCTATATTCAAGTGAAAACGTAAATCACTATTTCTAAATATGAGGATGTACATAGCGAGGGATTGGAACCTCCAATCCTGTGATCAGGATCGCGGTTTTAATTACAATACAGTACTTATTTTTTGTACAAATAACTTGGGGGACGTCACATTTTAAGAAGTTTTGCCCTCCCCTCCTCCTGGTGATACGCGGTGATATTCAAAATTAACCCACCCCTCCCCCTCCTAATCTCACGTGTATTTCTAGTTACGAGAAAATGGTAAAATTTTATTTTTTTCAGATTTCAGATCAAAAAATTCAGATAAAAAATAAATACACGTGATATTTTACTGTACCCCCTCCTTCCCCACGTAATATTTCGTGATTTTTTTCAAATTGTCAAACCCCCCCTTCCCAAAAAACCTCACGCGATTAATGGACTTCTTCGCGAAGAAGTTTGTTTTTGCTAGAAAATTCGATTTGCTAAATTTATGTTTTTTAGACGTTTTAGGTCATTCTAAATCGTTGAGATCGAAATTGATAAAATTATACGTGCCTGCGTGTATGTGAGGAAAAATTGCTCTCTTAAAAACGGCTGAACTTAATTCAAAGATTCATGAACCATTTCATGAAAATCGATAACGACTTGCTCCTATTAATTTTGCGCGAAGATCAGCAGTCTAATTTCTATTTAGTCTATTTCTTTATAATTAGCAGGCAAGTACTAAATATTTCGTCCATGTTTTCGCAAAAAATTCTCGTTTGATTTTGAAAATTTCCAAGCTCTTAAAAACGGCTGCACTGAATTGAAAAATTCTAGAGTCATTTCATGAAAATCTATTAGGACTTGCTCCTATTAATTTTGGGCGAAGATCAGCAGAGTCTTTACAATTAGCAGGTAAGTACTAAGTTTTTGGTCCACGTTTTCGCAAAAAATCCTCAATCGATTTTGAAAATTTCAAAGCCGTTCGAAAGATATCAGTTGAATATTCAAATAGATCATAAAATTTCCGTCTTGTTTAAATTAGTCGTACAAGAAATATTATACACATTTATGCAATGATGAGTAATTCAAAACAATACTGACTTCAGCAACATCAATCTAAAATATGATAACTACTATGTAAACATGAGTGATAAAATTCACAAGGCGTGACTAATACGTTCAAACAATGCGAAATATTTCTATTTAACACCATTAAATTATTAATCTAAATGCTGATAATAGAAAATTTAAAATTTACTATTATCAACATAGTTCAATTGCATACTTTAATTTTTTTTCTCTACTGAAATGAAACCCACAATTCTGTTCTTCGTGCTAAATAATATTACAATCCAATTTTTATACACGATACACAATATTTTCAAACCATCGAGCAATTCCTATAGCACCAACATAACTTTTCAGTCCAATTTTATTGAAATATTGCAATTTCTTCCTGGTATTATATCACTGTGATGAAATTTCAAAAAATTCACTCGGGCAGTGTCATGAATGCCCCAAAATGAGATACTTTTCCAATTATGCAATTAGATAAATCACTTACCATGATGTGAAATTATAAAAAACGTATTAATTTAGAATAATTTGGCAAAAAAAGCCGAAAAAATATGTGGCAAATCAAAATTTGGATAACTAATTTAAAATTTAAAATTTTGTTTTGATGACCAAATGTTTACTCCATGATAAAATTTTATTCATGATGTTCAAATGTCATGAACATAATTAATTAAATGAAGCAAATATTAAGATTACAATAAAATACTAATTATCAGACATAAACATTTATTCCATTAAAAAAATACAAAATCCTATATTTTAAATAGAAGTCTGAGTGAAGACTACAGAGATCATTTAAATGCAATTTTGATATGGCTGTTGCATGCAAAAATATAAATTACAATCACAAACAAGTTCATTATGAAAGTAATTTTGTAAAATTATATCTTATTAAATCTACTCACAATGATTTTTAATGTAAATTACAAAGGCACAATATTTATTCAAGTCGATACATTGGCCCTTTAATTTGCACATGTAAAATATCACAAGTGTAAATGATTAGAAACAAATCCTAATTATACTAAAGTAATTTTATTTATTTTGCACATTATTGTTTAAAACTAATGAAGGAATTTAATAACACGTGACCTAAGTATATTAACTAATTTCTATTAAAAATATGTGTTGAAGGTTTAGTTTCCTCTTAATATCACTGAAACTTAGAACAAATTATTCTTTAATAATTTTCTAGAAAAGTTCTAATGTCTACCGTTGTCTTAATGCACTGAGAATTAAATTTATAGTATTTTAAGTCAAGAATACTGTCAAAAATGTAAAATAAATGCTTAGACTTACTATAATTATTTGATTAAGTAAGTTTTTAAGTAATATAAAATGCACTGGTCAATTCGCATGTAATTTGTACATTCTAGAATAACTAAACTAAAAAAAAATATTAACCCTTTGTCATAATAAATTCATCACAATGTTGTCAGAGTGGTAAATCAAGTATTTGCTCGAAAGCACAAAATATTTTGTACAATTTTGTATATTATTCTTATAAACAAGGCCATATAAACCTGTAAAACTTAGATTTATCTACATTTAATTGGTCCTTCATACAAAAGATATTTAAATATGTACAAAATATTATGAGCTTAATCCTAATTCTTACTTTTCATATTAAAACATGACTTTATAATACTAAAATCTGAGTTGAAAGAGACAAAGAAGAAATGTCTTTTGTGTAGTGAGTAAAATCTAAGATAAGTCATTTTCATTCATAGCTAAGCCAATCTAAATCTAATATTAAATGTGAATCAATTTCAGACAAAAGTTTACTTGTTATTAGTCGTATAAGAAATATTATACAGATTTATGCAATGATGAGTATATAATTTATTTTTATTTATTATAAAACATCTTTAGAGGGTTCTTCTTTATCTCTAGTTTTTGACCATGTAACCTTATTCAAAACAAAAAAAAATCAATAAAAAGTGTCAATTTGAATATTTGGTAATAAAAAAATCACTTACTTTTTAGGAAAGAAAACTAACCGAGTGAGCATAGATGTTATGCATGGTATCTGCTTCTTACGATGCATTATAATACTATCAGGCGTATTCGATTCAAAGTCAGTAGCAACCCTACGACAAACAAAGGTAAGAAGAGTCAACAAATCCCTTGTTCTACCATTTAATTGCAATTCATTGCACAAAGCCTGCATGAACCATGAACCATTTGTTGTGTTCCTCCAGGAATAATAGCCAGGAATTGTGGAATAAGCTATTAAAAAGTCAGCTTGGGAAGGTATTCTATATGAATAAGCTGATCCATCTGTCTCTGTTCGATTGCTTAGTGTGACTCCTTCATCTAATTGATCACCTTGGCAAGCTTGAATGAAAAATATTTTGGGTTTACCAGCGAGTGTAGGACATCGGTCTGCAGTGAACATGCCGAGTAAGGAGTCTAATTTATATGGAGTGTCTTTAGCATAAATTGTACCCATTTCACCATGGCTTAAAATTGACACAACAATACAATCATTATCTGTGTGGTCCATGGTAGCTAAGTCTTCTAAGACTTTATACATGTCTTTAAATTTATAGTCATGGCATATTGCCACTTTGAAGCCTAAATTTTTCAGTATATTCTCCAAATTATTGCCATCAACATCAGTGCCGTGTCTTTCTTTGAGTTGAGACACATTGAAAGTTTTGTGGTTGAATATTATAGCATGGCCCCTGTGTTTATGTTCCATATTGTAACATTCAGAGTCAATACTCACAGGCATTTTTGCTATAATATTCTTACCCATAGGTAAAGAAGTACCTAAGGCATCACCTTCATCGTTTTTAATCACTTTTGTGAAAGCTTCACTTTCTTTGTTTGACTCATTGTCGTTGATAATGATTGCGTTATCCATTTTATATTTTTACTGAAATAAACAAATGTATTTTATCATAAAGATGGTAAATTTATACACTACACAATTACTTTAATTCAGTTATTTTATATATTTATAAGATTTTTACCGTAAAATTCACAAATATCGTTATTACCTTGCACAAAATAGTCAAATATTGCCAGTTCCAAGAATAACTAATCAAAACACAAAAATGTGTGTTGCCAGGCGCTGTCAAATAGATACTTCGAAAAGCATTGACTATATACGTAAGATGGATAGATTTTGTTCTTTGATGATGAGTAGCTAAGATGATAATCTGATGAACTGTTTATCGCAAATAAATTATAACTAGTGGTGCATGGCATCGTGCCTTGAAACTCGTACTTTCCGTACTAGAAATTAATTTTAAAAAAAGATTATTTTTTTTAACTTTGAAAAAATCAGATCTTTGAGAAATTTTAAATTTTTGAAAAAAATTGACTTTTTGGAAAAAAATGTTTTCTTTATTTTGAAATATTTGGGAAATTTTGAACTTTTTTTCAAAGCAATCGTACTGCTTTAGCTGCATAGAGATGAGTAAGCGCCGCGTCGCCGTCTAACGGACAAACGATGTTACGGAACTCATAGAAAAGTAAACAAAATTTATTTTTAAAATCTCCATAAAATATCTGACAATTTGATGTGCCTATGCCTAATGACCATTTTT